TTTTCAAGTACGAGCACTTAAAATTTTTGGTCTGGAGAGCTACTCACTAGACAGCTGGGTGATTTTCAAAGAAAAACCGTTAAACAGAAACTGTTCATTTCCCTTATGCAAAATTTACGGTGATCTACGCTAGTGAGCGCAAATGATAGGTGTAAAGCAACAACCATTCGTACAATTGACGACCCGAATACTTCAATTCTGGTGCAAAAACACATCATTGCACCGGCAAGGCTGGGTTTCTGTTATAAGCAGAGTAACTCTAGTCATCGGGTTGTACCCCTGATGTCTGGAGTTACTCTGCCATCAGGACTGCTCGGAACGAGTTAGTGCAGCTAATTTTTCCAACTCGACCAGTACATCATTCGACACACAACGTTTCCTTCTGGTCGATCGCTTCTGAACGCTCCATATTCTGTCGGTTGGTTTGACAATTTGTCAGTCTTATTACAGTTTATTTAACAAAGGATCACAGGATGAACTCGATCTTTATCTGCAGCAGTCTTGCAATAAAATCGTATAACCGCTACCGCTCATCCAGAGTTGTTGCTGTGAATTTGCTTTGCGAAGATCCATCAATTTATTGTTATTCAATACTCAATATTTAAAATAACTAATGCAGCGAAAGCTGGTGTATTTGAAATCCTGGAACATCTGTCAGTGGGCGATGGCCTATATTCTTACGGAACATAAAAAATTTCACTCCTTTAAGACAGTTTTGACGGATTCACGGATCAAAAGGTGATGGATAATATTTTTTCATAAGACGTACAAAGATAACAGCAGCAAAAGGGAAAGGGATATTGAGTTACACACCGTGTTTTCGACCAGAGTTATTAAACTCACTGTGCATCTACTCCTCATGCAACTGCTTTTACCCTGCTTGTTTGTTAAATGAGTTAAAGGTAAGAAATTGCTGCAGAAAAGCTCAGACGCACAGTGTTTTAGAAAAAAATCACAGTGCTTAAATTTAATCGACGAATGTAGAAGCTGTCCCGGCAAAAACGCGTCAGTATTTAATTCCATTAACTAATCGAAATCCACATTGACAGTTTGATTTTGCCACTTTTTCTTTTTCAGGACCAAGAAGTAGCATGTGTGCATCAAAGTGCTATAAACCGTATCACTTCACTGCCCTTCGTGTTGTTGCTCCTCAGAGCACATGAAATTAATTGCCGGGTTGCGGGCATAATAAGAGGAAATGACAGCGTTGCAGAACAGACTAAATGGGCAATGCCCGAAGTGACAGAACTTTTTTTAGCACTGTTCCTTCAGTTAAGCTCGAGTTAACTTAAGGGTTTCGCGATTTTATTGCAGATCAAGCATGATAACTTATTTTTGGCAACTCGACGAGAAAAAAAGCGAAGTAATCCATGTAATAAATTGTCTCGAAATAGTTGATCAGCTGCGATGCGGATTAATCGACAACGCGTTATTACTGTTTCTCTTACTGTACATCGACAGCTGTCTCATCAGTTTATTAGAAAATTTATCTTTGAGGCAATTTTTTGAATGCTGACCTCCAGGCATCAAAAAAACCGGAATAAAGTCCTTTATTCAATCTGTACGTAATTCCCGTTAGACCACCCAACCCTTTTTAGAGGAAGCGGTGATCAACAGTCTTTCTGAACGGCTGAAACACCTGCAGATTTTCTTCTGGCTTGTCTTTACAGTGCAGTGGAATGCATGGAAAGCAAAGGACTGGAAATGAAGCAAACAAGCATTAAAACCAAATCAAAATTCCTCTACGATTCACTTTTTAAGTTACGGAGGTATTCAGAGAAGTACTTGCCAATACCAACCGCTAGCGATATTTTCACTGGCCCCTTCCGAGGACTGCTAAACAAGCTGGTGAGATTCTCTGATAAGTGCCAAAAACAATCTGTCATCGGAAAAAAAGTGAATGAATAGCAGAGGCAATAGGTTTTCTCAGCAGTGGAACTGAACCCTCCAACAATGAATACACTTTTAATATTGCAGAAGCATTATTTGCCACTAAACCATGCAAACATCAAAAAACTGTACCGTAACAAAATCGGGATTTTTCGAAAATTTTGACATGGGAATCTCAGTGACTAATTAGAAGGCATTTTTGTTTGTTATGGGGAGGCGTCTTTCGAAACAACTTTTTAATTTACTAGTTGAACTTAAACACAAACCCTAGAATGAAACTCACCAGGCTTGCCGGTGCGGTCATGCGTTTTTTATGCGTTTCTGTTGTGCAGCGCTATAACGCTGCTACAGTAAGCAAAAACGCATATTGTGAGCGGTCGTCCATGTGTGTTCGAAAGCTTGTGGACTTTGTTACCTGCTTTCAACACAGCAACCACTGAAGCTAGAAGGCTGAAATTTTGGGATCATATCCTCACCCTTTGTGTCACTCTCTTGTTTTAAAATCTTCGCTCATACGCGCCCAGATTTCGTGTACAGACCCCTGAAAAAATATGCAGATTTCTTTGGCGAGAAGTAATTTCGTGAACCAGACAAGACAGACCCAGGCTAGAACGCACCGCGCGGGCCCATGCGATCATGCGTTTTTGCATCAGACTTGAAGTGCTCAGGTCATTATCTGCATAAATGGTTGTTGCTTTACGCCTACCTTTTGCGGTCACTAGCATAAACCACCATAAATTTTTTATAAAGTAAATGTACAATTTTCATTTAACGGCCGTTCTTTAAAATTAACCTAGCTGTTCAGTGAGTAATTCTTCCGCCAAAACTTTTAAGTGCCTGTAAGTAAGAACCACGCATGCCTCAAGGCTGAATTTGAAATGCTTAAGTTGTGCCTGTACAGGGAACATTCCCCTAAAATTTCAGCTTTCTAGCTTTTCTGGTTCCCGAATTAGTAACTTTCCCGCAGAAACTTTCGTACGCTCTTACGTGAGTGTCGCGCCTAGCTGAGAGCTGAATTTGAAATATTTAAGTTGTACTTGGACAGGAAACATTCCCCCAGAAGTTCAGCCTTCCAGCTTTTCTGGTTACCGAGTTAACAATTTTCCCGCCAAAATTTTCACATACCCGTACTTGGGTACTCTACATACCTGAGAAGCTGAATTCGAAATTTTTAAATTACACGTGGGTAAGAAACATCCCCCTAAAACTTCAATCTTCATCTTTCCTGATTACCGAGTTAACAGTTCTCCCGCCAAATCTTTCACTTGCTTACACGTAAGAATCACGCATACCTGAGGGCTAAATTTGAAATATTTGAGTTGTACTTGGACAGGGGTCATTCCCCAAAAATTTCAGCCTTCTAGCTTTCCTGATTCCTGAGTTAGCAATTTTCCCGCCAAAACTTTCATACGTCCTTACTTGATTGCCACGCATATCTGGGGGCTGAATTTGAAATCTTTGGCTAACACATGCACAGGAAATATCTCTACAAAGTTTCAGCCCTTTATCTTGCCTCGTTTCTGAAATCGCTTTCCCGTCAAAAAATTTGCATATTTTTTTCAAAGCGTCTGTACGCGGCACCCAAGCGTCCGCTAGGGATGATATTAAAGCGGAGGGCCGCGCATAGTTGGGCACATTCTCCCAAAGTTTCAGCCTTCTAGCTTTTCTGGTTCTCAAGTTGAGAGCGGGTGACGAAAAGTGCGAATACGCAGGCACACACAGACACACACAGACAGCCTCTTGCTAATGTGCTTTTTGCAATTTGCGGCTATGCAAAAACGCTTAAAAGAATGGAGGACAAGCGTGTATGTGTCATTTGTTACGAGCATACTTACAGTAATTGGATGTGTGGGTACATACAGAGTTTATTTTATTATAATGCTCTTTTCGTCTACCCGGTAAACTCAAGTCACCAAAATACTTAATCTAGAGTCTGCTTCCTCTAGATCTAGCATATCCTCTGTTTTTTTATTATTGGGCAAGATTCACTAAAACCTAAAAATCAATCTGCTCAGTTAGACTGTTCAGTAGAAGTTCAAATTCATGTTTTTTTTTTTTGGTTTCGAAACCAAATAGATTTTGAATTTAAGTCAAAAGTGTAAAGAGTTTCGAAAGGCAATTGTGGGTTCATGTCTTCCCTATGGTTAAATTCTATGATTTTGAAAATTCACCCTGTGCAGTGTAGTTCTCAAGTTGATTTGTTCAGGCATACATACAGAATTAACACGTATGAAACACAGAAGAATGTTAAAATACTAACACTTTTTTTGACGGTCTGGTTCGCCAAATGCGTTACTGGCAGCTTGAGCTATGGATATATTCACTGGTAAATTTCGCAATTCCACAACATCGTAGATGGTATTATTTACATATAAAATGTGTTTTACAATGAGTGAACACAAGTTAATCCAGAAATCTGAGCTTGCCAAGCTAATCGAGAAATAATTCAGAAATATGTTTAAACAAGCAAGAGTAAAATCGCTATTATCACAAAAGAAAACCAAGTTTTTCAAACAATCATAGGTTATCGTCTTGAGCTTCGATGTGAAATTTTTATGGTAGCTAAAATGAATTCATCCACTGTGTTCGCCAACCGCCTGCCTCCACCTGTCATACATAGTCCACAATTGTCAGGCATTTCACTTTTTCTTACAACTTCTAGTAATACAAAACCCGCACAAAATAAACAGTATTAAGTAGTACTTTTGGGCAGTAAGCAAAACAAAACACTGAAAAATCAAGGGACAGTCGAAAACACAACCGGAATTTGACCTTTGACCTGATCAGTAACATTGTGCAGCACAGTACAAATTGAACAGCATGGAGACTGTCGATGGAAAACAGCTTATAACGGCTGCACTGCTAATCAAATCCTGGTCGTCACTGCAAGCAGTACTAAGTAAATCTGACTAAGAGTATTTTTGAAAGTGATTTACACTGTCGGCGCCTGTCTTCTAATGCGCAGTTTTATCAGCTCTACAAATTCCGGTGCAACGTGCTCTCACTCCCCCTAAATTTTGTCGCAGTCTGACAAAATAAATTCTCAGTCACAGTGAGGAAATTAGTTTCATCATAATTATTTGTGGAAAAACTTTCAAAATGATGGACACTTACGTGTAACCATTAGTGTGCATCGTCACTTTTTGACTGACATTTCGGAACAAATGTTCTCGTTCTCCTCGCTCGTGGATCAGTGAAAAAAGCCAGAGAAGCGCAAGGAATATAGCAGTAAAGGAGATGAGCGTAACGAAGAAATATGACATGCACGGCTTACTGGGATTAATCAATCCGTCTTGTCGGATTAGATCCCAGAATGCCCTTGGCATATTTCCAGCGTCTTTTTTAATAAGATGCAGCACATTCAGGAATCTCAGACAATTTCGGCTAACATTTCAGAACGCAAGCACAGGAAACAACAAGCCAACATAAAACTGACTATTAAAATCGCTGCAAAAGAGCGCTGTGAAGCAAAAATGCTTTGAGGCATATTAGTTTGGATTTCGGCTTCTCACACTCTTCTGCCCGTTTCCACTGATTCCTTAGCACATAGCTGAGCGAAAAAAATCGACATTTTCACGAGTTATTTCCATTTTACGTTTCTACGGCACGTCTGTAGCAATCGTTTCATTCAGAATGCCTCCTTTTGAAGTTTGAAATCGCCTTTAGATTTCGGGAAATCTCCGAAACAGGCACTTTGGCCGAATTTTTTTTGATGTAATTAATCAAAGCATGTAAATATAAAGGGGTTTTGCGAATCAACATGATCGCGCATTCCCGCATTCAATCTTTTTCGTGGTTCTTAGTTCAACTTGCAACTTGCTTTGGCAAAGCTTTACTTCTTTTGAACTACTTCATCTTTGGCATTTGGACATAATTTTATTACAGCAACTTCGCAAAACAAAATTTACATGACTTATGAACTTGTTTAATCCAACGAGAAGGAAGCTAACCCTATTCGGATTGAATATTTGGGTAGTAACGTCCCATATAAATCAAAAAAAGTAGTAAGTGCTAAATTACTATCATTAATGACCTGTTATTGGTAGAACTTAAATACTGAATAAAATCCAATGTGCTTTAGCGACAACTACAGTTGTTCTCTATCAAACTTTTGCCAAATAACGGCATAAGTCAGTGCACCAGAGTAAACATACATTTCCAGCAGTAACTCGGTCCATACGCGTAATTTCGGGTTTTACTTATTTGAGTTCATAAGTGTGGATTCAGTGTGCTTGGGCCAATGGTATCGCTTTTGAGACACCATAGGAGCCGTAGTTGGGTTTGCAAAATTTATGCTTCTTAGATGATTTAGTCACAGAATCGAAGGTACGTGATAGACAGGCACACGCACACGGACAAGATCTCTTTCAAGTATACAGGCTAAAGTGCTTCTTTCGCTTCAAGAAAATTGCAACTACAGTATTTATCAGAAGGCACCATTTGCGTTTTTTAAGAAAAGACATAGGTACTCATTCCTTAACAAACTTTCGCCGCTAATAAATTTCACCCTTTATTACTTCAACAGGCTTGAGATTCTACTCGTAGGATTTGCTGTGGCAACTTGTTATAGAATCAGGCTTGTAAGCACTTCTCATAATTACAATGAGTTGCATGATACAGTTTCGTAGAATGTCAGATTCAGTGAAGGTACTGTATGTGACGAAACTAAGATGTAAAAATTTCAGCGGCTGATTTTTCGCCAAGAAATTCTCTGAAACAAAAAGTGGTGAAATCGTAGAGTTCGATGTTGTCTAAAATTAAAACTGTGGAATTAACAAAAAGAGTATGTTGAGTAGAAGGGAGGAAAAGGCGGAAGGAACTGAAAGTGTTTTCCAGACCCTTCTTTTGATTGACATTTTAAAGCAAATGCTTTCCTGGACAACGGTAAATTTTTTTTAGATGGGCTTAGTTGCAATGGTAAAACTTTACGCTCTTTATCTGAGGAAAAGAAAATGGGATCGAAGAGGCTAAACTGATACGTGCTTTGCACAAATTTTTCATTTGAATATGAATAGAGCAAAAACGGAAGGGAGAAGTGTGGCTGGAAAGGAAGGCGAAGAAGCCGAGGATGTAGAGCGGTTAGGTCACTTTTGCACTTGCTTCCTGTTATCCAGCGGAAAACGAGTTTAAAAGCAACAACTGTTTAATGAATAATGATATGAGCAATCAACAGTGATACTCTGCCAGCCTCTTTCTGGGACCTATTTGTAAAAACTGATACAAAACATGCGAACGGGCACCGGATTTGGTTAACAGACGCATAGAACTCAGGCAGCGTTCCGAAGCGCTTGCGCATGTATACGTGCAGCTACCTCTTGTTCCTGATGATAGGCAGTGTATTCAGACTTCGCATGTGCTGCTAATCATCAGGAATGAAGGCCAACAGCACGTGCAGATAAGCAGACGCATTCAAACACTGTTAACGAATTTTTACTCGTCCAGGCTTGTTGACCTCAGTTGTAGGCGATCCCTTCTATTGCATAATTTCAGTAGAAATTCAACAGAGCCCACGGAAAATTCAAATAACAAGCAGCAGCAAAGTGCGACTAGCGAAGTTCATGCACTTCGTTAGTCGCACTCTGCTTCTGCTTGTTATTTGAATTTTCTGTTGGCTCTGTTGAATTTCTACTGAAATTATGCAATAGAAGGGATCGCCTACAACTTCCTTTTTCAGGAGACACATGACAGATTTCCGCTTTATTCGGAGGAAAGAAATCAGCGAACGCCGCTATTTCTAATTATTTAAAATCATTGGCGACGCGCACCGGACGGGCCCGTGCGATCATGCGTCTTTGCAATATTTCATGCGGCAATGAGATCGCTCGGAACCCAGTAGCTAGAAGTGTGTGGTCCATGAAATCCGGGAAGTGTGGACGGGGAACAATTCGTTGAAGTTTCAGTTTTCCAAATTTCCTGGTTCTTGAGTTAGTAATTTTCCTGTCAAAAATTTTCACGGGGCCGTACATGACACCACGTACGCCCGAGGGCTGAGTTTGATAAATTTAAGTCGCACATGGGCTGTGAACATTCCCTGGAAATTTCAGCCCCCAGCTTTCCTGGCTCCTGAGTTAGCCATTTTCTCACCAAAAATTTTTACGAGGCCGTACGTGAGTACCACACAAGCTGAAAGGCTGAGTTTGATAACTATAAGTTGTGCTTGTACTGGGAACATTATCTGAAAAAAAATTTCAGCTCCTCAGCTTTCCCGGTTCCTGAGTTAGCGATATTCGCGCCAGGAACCCTTATGGGACCATACGCGAAAACCATTCACACCTGGAGGCCGAATTTGAAATCTTTGAGTTCTATGCACACAAGGAACATAACCTCAAAATTTCAGCTTTCTAGCTTTTCTGGTTCCCGAGTTAACGATTTTCCCGCCAGAACTTTCACCCCCTCGAACGCGGGGCCTAGACTTGCATGAGGGTTGGTACCGCGGTCCTGGAGTGGCACCTGGCCGGGAACCCACCTGCAAAATTTTGGCGCCGGAGCATGCTTGGGTGCCGAGATGAAATACCCGGACAGGCGCACACACATACACACACTCGCACACACACACACACATGCACACACCCATACACACACCAGGGGCGTCACAATATGCGTTTTCGCATTTGCATATATGCAAAAACTCATAATTAAGACATCATTATATGTATATTGTTATAGGACAGCCACTCCCTTTACAATTTGTCATTCGTTTTGACAGTAAACAGGTGCAGGTGTATGCGAGGGAGTCAAACTGGCTATCAGTTTGCTTCTAAGAACCGTTAAAAGAGGGAGCTATCGAAAACTTTACCAGCAAATGGTTGCTGTTTGCATTTGCTACCGCTCGGGTTACTTCTCGAGTAAATATAGAATAAATAGAGCAAATATAGACCGAGAGTAAATAGAGAGTAAATACAGAACGGGTTTTGATTCTCTTATAGTCCTTATAATCAAATTATTAGTAAGTGCTGGCGGTGCGGCAAATGGCTCGATTCTCAAGGTATAGTAAGTTGGTGGACCGTTTAATTCGGCCACTGGTAAAATCAGTCCCATTACAATTTGCTTCGATAATAAATGGTTACTGCCGCATACCATGGAGTCTGGACCGCTTGCTTTTAGTCAACCATCAGAAAAAGGAATCCTACCCAGCAGCTGGTTTCTGTTGGCAATTTTCAACACTCGGACTACTTTAGAGCGTTTTCGTCTTTCACAATGAGTGAAATGTTGATAATCTTTTTTCCTAATAAACTTTTCTGAATATTTGCGAAAGATGTCCTGTATTTTAGGAGCTTCTGGAAAATTCTCTTTGCACTCATCCCAGTGGAATGATCCTAACTACGCTACTATTCCAAAACACTGTTGCACTTGAGTGCTCAGGACGAATACGATTTATTTTGCCACGAAACCGCTGAACTTGTTGAGGATCAAAGTTCGTGTTTCGACGTCACTTGTCAAATTTTTATCTAAGGTTGTTTTAGCTGTTTGTAGCATCCATGTTGATGGGTGCCAAAATAGGGGAAGTGTTTATAGAGGGGAGAAAAATAGTAGGAGAAAAGTTGTGGGTAAGAAAGTAGAGTTAAGACGTTCCGGTCCTTTAAATTTAGAGTTACCGAGCCCAATTTTCTTGCTTTTTTATGCAGTCTGCTGTTTTTTATGTGAACTTGGTGCATTTTAACTAAACTCTAATATATACATATGTATATATCGAACTTTATTAATTATATATAACACATTAAAATTATACAAGTTATACAATTACAAATTATACAAATTACAAAAAACTGCAAATTAAAAATTATACAAAAAAAAACAAAACATATATTAATCAAATATACATATTAATGTTAGTTCCCCTATCTAAAATGAATGAATTTGGTTGCGTTTTGATGCTGGAAGAGAGCCGGCCCTCTTTTTGTTAGTCTGCTGCAATATCAGCTTTCAGTATGCCACCGATTGATGCATATATTTATCTCTAAACCTACATAGCAGATGAATTTCCTACTTCATTTGGTATTAATTAATATTTAGAGTGAAAGCACAACAAAAGCTTTTCAGCAGCAGGCCTGTTACCTAAGAAATTCGTAAAAAAACCCGCTGCAAAGGATGCAATAAGAAAGTAAGTTGAGATTTCACTGGGTTCTGCCTAGTTCTGCCTATATGCAGGTTAAAGATTCCAAATTTGGGCACTAGGTACGCTGAACTCACGCGCAAGGACAGATCGAAGCGCAGCTCAAGATATCGTTAACATCATGTCAACTCAGGAACCGAACGAAATAGTAGTTTTACGAGAGTATACGATACCCACTTTTTTGTAAAATGTGTTCTCGAGTATTTTTTTGTT